CATTTTCCAAATGGACTGAAACTGTCTACAGGCAGGACCCCCATCTTTTTATTTCATTTCATTACCCTACTGCCAGGCAGCACTAAACATGCATTCAATGCCTGCTGAACAAAGAAATTCATTATTGTCAGTTATAACATTTTGACTCTTCTCCCTTCTACATACTAAATCCTTAAAAGGATCCTGTCCTGGGGTTAGAAGGCAGAAAAAGCCATCAGACCCCACTCCTGATTAAACCTTACATTCTCATCACAAAGCTGCTGGCATTCTACCAGCCTCTGTTTTGGCAGAGCCAGTGACAGGAAGTCCACTGCCTCTCAAGACATTCCATTTTCTGGCAACTAAAAYTGTTTGAAAGTTCCTTCTCAAGCAGGGTCAGAATCTGTCACTGCTATGAAAAGGGCACAGCCAAGGACAGAGTTCTTTTTACCTCACTAGAGAACTCCCTCTAGGCTGACATCCAATCTGCTCCTCTACAGTTTCAAAGCATAAATCTGTGCCCTAATGTCACAGTGCAGCCAGGTAAGCTGTGCTACTCCATGGTAAAGGCACAGCCCRGGTGCCAAATATAGAACTCTGGCTTTACTCTCACAACACTGGGMAAATTACTCAACCTCTGCAAACTATAGTTTTTCTCACCTGTCAAATGAAAATAAACTGGTATCTTAAAGACAGAGCTGTTATAAGAATTAATTAACCTGTAAACCATATTAGTTAAATATCTTAGCCAGAAGTATGAGAAACATGCCTAAATCTAGGCTAGCAAAAAAAGAGAATTCTGTGGCTTTTGTGTTAGCTGAAGCTCAAGCACAATAAAACCCGGAGAACTGAACACCATCAGTCATTCCCTCAGTGTCCTTCACTCCGTGGGACAGGTTTTCAGGAATTGTGGATACTGGAAGTATTACTAAAAGGATCTCTTCCCTTAATACCAACCTGAAAATATCCAGAAGCTGAGCTCATGCTTTTAGTCTGGGGTGGGTTATTATCCTCATCGGCCACACTAGAACCCTAGGCTGGGTAGATTGRGTGAGAACAATTCATCAAAAAAGAGAGAATGCATTTTTTGGAAGATGGTGGAAGAATTTCTAGGCAGACAAAAGAATTGATATTCTCTGTATAAGTGCTCATTATACTGTATGATTTGATATAGCAATTGTACCCAGTGGTTTCCAATTTAGATTTCAAACTAGATATGCACAAAATAATTTAGGGGACTAACATATTTTGCCAACTTAAAAATATTTTTAAAACTATTACTACTAGGATCATCCTTTTTTTTTTTTTTTTTTTTTTTTGGTTAATGAAGATTGAACTCAGGGGCACTCAACCACTGAGACACATCCTAAAACCCAAAACTAAGTTGCTTAGTGCTTTTGCGGAGGCTTGCTTTGAACTTGTGATCCTCCTGCCTCAGCCTCTGGAGCTGCTGGGATTACAAGGTGTGTGCCACGGTGCCTGRCTTATGATCATAATTTAACAAAATAAATATACCAAAAAATGTTAGAAGGATATAATCTCAGAATAAAGTACAATTCTTTAAATCAAATTAATTTAGCTTTATGAAGAAAGTTGCATTCATTAATTTTCTCATTTTGACCAAGGGCTGGCAAAACATCACCCAGCCAGTACTTGGGAGACTAAAGGAGAGGATCATCTAGGCCTAAGAGTTCAATACCAGCCTAAGGAAAAATAGTGAGGCCTCGGCTGAAACATGGGAACCTCTGATCCAAGTCATATAGTCTTCTACCTGGTCCATAGGCAGCTAGAAGCACCCTGGACCCTGCTGCAATCCAGCCACATTACACCTCCAGCACCTTCTCCTGAACCTGGCACCTAAGAGGTTCACAGAATCTGTCAACTARTCCAGCAGCTATAAATAAAAGACATGAGCACAGTCTGGCATTACATGCTCTTAATAAATATACACTGGAACATAAACATATACATGAGTACACACATTTTAAAATTCTCATACTCAATTTTCTAAAAGTATTAGAGCAACTTTACATATATACAATACAGTCATTCCAAGAAAAAGATTCATGTAATGAAAGAGTGATAAAGAGAAGGACTATATGAAGTATAACTGCTTTGACAAATTTCAATTACAGGCTCAGATATAATTCTCTTGAGATGTCTCACATGAAATAAGTCTCTCTTACTCTAAATCTAAGAGTTGGCCTGTCTGTGCATGTCATGGTTAAGAAAGTAGTTTATGCAGATGATCTAAAGTGTCCTTGATTCAGTCATTTACTCAATAAATATCTCAATATCTATCACATTTCAGGCACTATGTTAGACATCAGGACCCTGAAGTTGAACTACATACAATCTCATCTTAAGGAATTTCATGRACCAGGGAAGCTGAAAATTACTAACATAAACCACAATCTAAATTAAATTACTAGTCATTTTCTTCAATTTTCCTTACTTAATAAAAGATAAGAACATCTTAAATTTAGCCTTGTTAAGTTCCAACAGAGCACATAGTGACTGCACACAAATAAACAATTGATTTTGTGTTCTAATTTTCATCTGCTTATGGAATTAAAAGTTCAAACTTCGGGCAACTGAAGTAGAATATCCTTGGACGAAAGGCATTATGCCGGAGTACAGCACGCAATACTATACCTTCAAACAATCACTCCTTGCTCTGTGTGCCTAGGTAAATCCACAGGTGACTTGGCCAAGTTTTCTCTTGATTTCTGAGTTCAATAAAGGCCAGAACTATATTATTCAATTCCTCTTAGTAAAAGCCCTATCATAAAGGCTTTTTGGTTGTTTGGTATTTGTTTTTTTGGTAGTACTAAGGATCAAACCCAGGGCTTTGCATATGTTAAGGGCACATTCTACCACTGACCTACATCCCTAGATGCTTAGTCTTAAGGTAACTTTTTACTTGCCTTCCAGATTTCATGGGTAGAGTAATAGGCTACAGGCCAAAGAAGGGCCAATAGTAGGGTTCRGGTAGTCACACAATGTGACGACAGGTGAAGCAGGAAACAGAGACCACAACAGGACAGCAAAAATAAGAACACAATAAGGAAGACTTTGAGAAAGCCAGAACAAGGAGGTAAGAACAGAAGAAGTCAGGGGGACAAAAAACACTATAATTTAGGATTGGCTCAGTGCTCTATAAGGTTAAGTCAGAGGCAAATAGAATATTAGATGACAGAGCCATCACAAATGCATGTACATATTGTGACATGAAATTCAACACAAGAAAAATCAACACAGGTCAGAGAGTCCCATAACATGACTAAAAGAGGATCCAGATTTAGCTTATATTTCTACAAGAATCACTTGTAGTCAGGAACTGGGTTTAAACTCTTCCCCAGAAAACTGACTTTTTAGAAGAAAGGGAAGTTTTTAGTAATTTTAAAGAATAGATAAACCTTCAATGAGAAAGAAAATTCTCTGATACTAAGTAACATTTTTCATAAGCATACCTTAGATTTAAAAGCTAGTTTTTTTTAAAAAAAAATCAAGCATTAGTACCCACAGTTAAGACCATGTTGTTTATTAGAGTCAAAGCATAATCAAAAAGGAGGAATGAAAGCCTATGAACCACCCTATTAAAGTCAAGCAAGCCAAAGTTCAAGAGCTCACAGGCAGGCAGTCATTCAAGATGAATGCTGTTTCCCACCACTACCTTTTAAATGCCTAGAGTGACTAAGACTAAAAGAGCACACAAACAGGGAGCAAGGGTTACTTGGTAATTCTATTGTTCATTCTGAGGAAAAGTGTAAAGATTAATTAGTAAACAGTGGGTGAAAAGTGCTAACAAAATCAAGGGAAAATATTTATAACTAATTCCCATGATAAAGTTTAAAAAAAAAAACAAAACTTTTTAAAGAGTTAGAATCTACCATATGGAACAGGGACAATGTTTGTAACACATTTGTTCCTACATAATATTTTAAAATTGTAAGTTTCCATATTTATTCAGTTACTACTTCCAAAGTTCTAGTTACTTCACTAAATTTGGCTCTAAGTATTAACTTACATTTTTAAATGTTGATAGCAGCCATACAATTGGTATTTGATTTGATTTCAGATTTAAAACAGGCTTTCCTAAGTATCTGGCTACTTCCCTTAATCATATTAAACAACTGAGTTTTCCTAATTCTTACATAATTATCACACAATTCAAAATACTAATCAATCAATATTTTTTATATCCTAAAATGAAACTCTTATCTATCACCATTCCTTAGCTCTAAGGTTCTCTAAGGTAAATTTTGTTTTAAACAATGATTCTCAGCCTGGAAAAGATTTTGTCCCCCAGGGTAATTTGTGCATGCACATGCACACACATGCACAAAGATGTGGCAGTGATTAGAGGCATTTTGGTTGTGGCAACTAGGCCAAAACTAGTGGCAAGGGATAGGGATGCCACTGACATCTAGTAGTAGGAGAGGCTAGGAATGCTGCTAAATTATGGACAGCCCCCCACAACAAAGAATTATCCACCCCAAAATGTCAATAATGACTCTGCTGGGAAACCCTGTTCTAAACTGAAACAAAAAAATTTGCAAATACAGCTGACAACTCCAAAAAACAATTGCTAACTAAGTAATTCAAAGTTCACTAAGCTTTGTTAGTAGTACAGAGAAACAACATAATAAAAGCTTCTTTTCATGCTATCAAAATACATTAAAATGATGATCTGACTATTAATCACAAATGCATKAGGTTGCTGACAGATATGAAAGGCGAAAAAGTACTTTCACTACCCAAGCAATTAAAGATATACTTCCTTGCAAAAWGAACATTTCAGAAAACAAAACAGAGTATGAGTTAGTCATGTTCTTGACAGTTTTCTATGAAACTCTATTATCTCTAACCACACTTTTTCTCCCCTCAGTCATCAGATTTTTAAATGGAGAAAATTTAAAATAAATAGAAGAGGGAAGTTAATTACATGATACTAGTCGGTAGCATAATCCAAGACCAAAACACATTACTAAAGAATCTGTTAGAACTCCAAAGTTTACCTGGCAAAAGGACTGGCTCCAGTTTTTTAATCTTCGGTTCTGAATTGATCTTATCATCAGTCTGAAATACATTAACAAAATTAATCAAAATCGAAACTCCCCTCTCGTATAAGAAAGGGGATACTAAGGCAATTTTCTGTTTTCTACATGATGACACATGCGACAGACACACATTCTCCCACTTCGACTCTTTCACGTCTTAACCGAGATCTATGGCCATGGGAGCCTGACAATAAAAAACATTTAAATCGCTTGTACCTGTTCCAAGTGTTTAYATTTATGACAGTAACCTCCTCTTACCAGATGCCTACAAGCGCAGCAATCACGCTGGCGGTTACAGTGGGGACCATTGCCCGGGCTAGGAACTAAACAAACCCGGCTCCGAACGCTCCCTAGGACAAGACTTCGAGTAGAGAGAATGGCTGCAGCAGAGTTTCACAAGTTTCTACCACAGAAGGGGAGGCTCCCAAAGAGGCGCGTTTCCGMGCCCCGGGGCTCAGACAACCGCGCGGCGGGGGGCACCCAGACAGACACAGCCTGGCGGGGTCCCTCCGCTCSGGGGGTTCGGCCCTGCGGCTCCCCGGAAGCGCCAAGGAGAGGACAGCTCGCGGGGAGGGGGATGTTTACCTGGGGCGGCGGCAGGAGGTAAGACCTGAAGGTGGGTCTGGGCGGCTTGAGGGAGAACATGGTGCCGCCGTCTTTTCGCCCCGGCCCAGTCGCGGGCCAGCCGCAGCTTGGAAGTCTCTGAATTCCTCCGGCCTTAGAGCTCCCGGAGCGGCCGCCCAGGCCCAGTTTGCTGCCCGCCCGGCCGGGCGGACAGTAGGGCGGAGACACAGCGGAGCGCCCGCCCGACTGGGGAGGAGCCGCGGCAGAGCCGGCCTACGCGGGCGCCGGGGCTCATCCCCGGAAGGAGCCCGGCGCCCCGCCTCGAGAGACCGCTTGCGCAGGGCTGGCGGTCCGCCACTTCCAGCATGTAGGCCCGGCTGACGCCGGAACGCAGGGTCTGAGCTGAGCTTCGGCTGCCGGGCCCGCAGAGGGGACACCGTTAGACGCGGAGCAGGGTAGCCATCTTCAGAGCGCGGCCTTGGGAGGGCGCTCCTGCGGCGGCCCCAGGCCATGGCGTTGAGTGCCCCCTATTATAGCGACCCCGCCCCAGACGCCCTCCTCCGGGACTTCTCCCTGAAGTGCTGCTCTTCGTCATCAGCTTGGGCGAGCATTRTTTTTGAAGCCCTGAGTGAGGAGCCCGGGGTGGAGGGAAGGGAACTCTGATGCCCCGGACTCAAGCAGTAACACCGTCTGCGCGCTGTGGAGGACCCACACCCGTGCAGCCAAAAGTGACCATTCAGTGTAGGCTGGACTGCCCGTGATAAAGTCCCCTCCAAAGTTCTCAAACTTGGTGAAGATTTTCTTCTGTCACCCCCTCTGTTGTCTTTGTTAAAAACTTGACAGGGGATGACCTCCTGCTAGTTGAGCTCACTGCTGGGATGCTCAGGTTTGGTGTGTGCTGCAGGGACTGGGATGTTGGCCAGCAACCTAGACTGCTCAGTTTAGTTCGTTAATTTCTAATCTTCTTGTTAAGCTTTAATGTGGAAGAAGTTATTAAGCAATTTGCCTTTCTTTCCTTCCTTGCCCATCCTCACATATAAAGATGGTAAAGAGCTGATAAATGATCAAAAACCTAGCAAGAGTAGCCGTGTAGGGGACTTCAATCTGCCTGTTAGTTGCAAAGAACTTAAACCTGTCAAGTATATTTCTAAACTCAATGTTTTTAAATGGAGCAGCCTTTGGTGGGAGGAGGCCAGAGTGGTGGATGTTGGTGAGTCTACTGGTTGACAGTAGGTCTTTGTTATACTTTGAAGAATAAAATCCAATCCAGAATTTTATGATTAATGTCATGGGGAATCTCTGATGTGGCCAGTGCGAATCACAGTCMTACAGATGAGTGTTGCTAATATTAAAAAATTGAAGCAAAGATTCAAAAGWTATCTTTTTCTGAAATAACTTGTTCCAGATTTGGAACCCTGCTGATCTTTCTGGTTAACCTGTTTGAGTAACACTTGTATCCATTTTGCCCAGGAACCACAGTTGTCAATGTCAATTCTATTGTATTGTACATGTGGAAACACTGTTGTGCACATATTTTTTACTTTATGAATATTCTGTTATTTCCCTCCATTAAATGGATTTTTCTCCACAGATGCTCTTCAAGCATTTTGTGGATTCTTATACTTCTATGGCTTATTCTGTGATTTGGGTTTTGCTGTACAGGTTTCCTTAGGACCTACAATTCTCATGTGTATGTGACCATAGAATTAAAAAATAGAAAAACTCTGCTTTCCAGATTTGTTATTGATTTAGCACCAAATTTTATGATTTTCTGGATAACCAGTTGTATTAATCTGCTTGGGCTGTCATAACAAAATAGTACAGATTAGTAACTTAAATGACAGAATGGGGAGGGGCAGTTAGATTATGAACTCTCAGTGTCTCTTATAGGGACACTAATCCTGTCAAATTAGAACTTCATCCCTATGACTTAATTTAAGTTCTGTTGTTTTCCACACTTTTATTGGTACATGATAATTGTATATATTGATGGGACTTATTGTTAAATTCCTATATGCTCACAGTGTAACAATATGATTTGTCCAGTATCACTCCTTAGCATTTCCCTTATTTAATCTTAATTGCCTCCTAATAATCTATCTCCAAATATAGTCATATTGGGCATTAGGGTGTCAATGTGTGCACTTTGGGGGGACATAATTCAGGCCATAGCACTRGTTTTGGAGACTTCTCCTAGATCGTGATCTCATTGCCTACTTTATGTTTTATATAATTGACCATCCCCTTCTTGGGGGCTGTAATGTCACTATTCTGACCTGCTTCGTCTTTTTCTGACTGTACATGTTTTCTTTTTTKGGGGGGAGAGGGGTACCAGGAATTGAACTTTGGGGCACTCGACCACTGAGCCATATCTCCAGCCCTATTTTTTTTATTTTATTTAGAGACGGGGTGGTCTCACTGAGTTGTGAAGTGCCTCACTTTTTGCTGATGCTGGCTTTGAACTTGTGATCCTCCGGTCTCAGCCTTCTGAGTCCCTGGGATTACTGGCATGTGCCGCTGCTCCCGACTTGTACATGTTTTTATTATTGATTCTTCTAACATAGGGAATAGTAACATTCCCTAAAGATTACTTCCTTTTCCTTGACAAGGAAAGAGCTAACATTTGTTGAATGTTAGGTGGTGCTAGATAATTTATATATTCATTTAGTCACTTATTCAATTGGTTAGCAAATTTGCATTGAGTGTTAACTTTGTGCCAAGCACTATTTAAAATCCTAAGACAAAGAAGTTCCTATTTTCACAACACTTTTATTCTAGATAGAAAGATATTATTTACACACACACATTTAACATGTCATATGGTAACAAGTGTGAAGAATAATAATGTGGGGAGACAAAAGGGAATGTATATATTTCTACATACATATGTTAGCTATGGTCAGGGAAGGTCTTTCTGATTGATGACATTTGAGCAGAGACCAAAAGGAGTGAGAAAGCAAGCCAAGTGGAAATCAGGAGGAAGAGTGTTTTGGACTGAGAGTTTAACACTGTAAATACCCTCAGGGTACAGCCCTTATTGTGTGTTTCAAGCAGCCTAATGCGCTAGGAGAGGAGAAACAACARGCTGGATCACATAGGCCTTGAGAGCTGAGAAGCTTTGCAATGTTCTGAGTTGAAAGTCATATGACCTGATTCCAGCTGCCATAGTAGTATAGCAAGAGAGAAGCTGCGAAACAAATTGAGGAACTACTGTAATAGTCTAGGTAAAAGTGGTTGATGGTGATAGCAGTGGAAGAGGTTAGTAATAGTTGTATATCATTTCTACAAAATGATGTCACTGACTCAGCATATGTTCTTTAAGATAAGTAACTTACAAAATCTGTTTCTTGAAGAATTCTGGGATGATAACAGCAGCAGCAGTTTTTCAGTCTAAACATAAAAGCAGACAAAATATATACCAAAACCCAATATCCCACAATTTGCAATATAGAAGCATGTGGTACTAACAACCAAGGGCTGTCTTAAAGTGACTGTGCATCAATAAAGGAAATCAATAAGCATCTGGAAAACTTCAAAATAGCCAAAAAGTATTTTCTAGAAGGTCCAGCCAGTTAAGTTGAGAACAATAGCAGAAATAGGAAGGGGTATTTATCTTCTCCAAAACATGAGAGTGCAAGGGGCTCATGGTAAAGTCTAAAAGGGCTGGAATAATATAACTGCAGGAACTCTGGAAACAAATCTACGGGAATTCCTTCTAGGAGAGGGACCTACACMGAGGACTAACTCCCAGCATGRAAACCATATTGASCAAAACAAACAACAGAGACAAAGGCAAGAGAACGTGCAGATAAAAATGAAGAACAAGATTATCTCCAAAAATAAGCTGAATTTAAAATATTTTAATTAAAAATATTTTAAATACATGGTAAATCCAGGTGCAGCGGTGCATACCTGTAATCCTATGGCTGAGGCAGGAGGATCCTGAGTTCAAAGCCAGCCTCAGCAAAAGCGAGGCACTGAACAACTCAGTGAGACCCTGTCTCTAAATAAAATTTAAAAAAAAAGATCTGGAAATGTGGCTCAGTGGTCAAGTAAGTGCCTTTGAGTTCAATCCCCACTGCAAAAAAGAAAAAAAAAAAAGGTAAAAACAGAAGATGTTCTCTAACAGAAGTTAGAAAAGAAATTCTTCAAATAACCTCCTTCAAAAAGTTCAAGAAAACAATTTCACATAAAAATAACCACATGAAAGTATGGAAGTCAAATCCCTTAGAAAAGTATTGTACCAAAAGAGAACAAGAACAGAATAACATTCCTACAGACAACAAAAGCATACCAGAAAGATGTGCTTTCTAAGCAAATCAAAATTACCATCTACTATTTTAAAGTGAGCCAAAAAAAAAAAAAAAAGGAACATGATGAGTCATAAAGAACTATATAAATTAGAACTAGAAACACCTGAAATGAGTAGAACTAGAAATAAGAAATTATTCCTGAAATGAAAAGTAAACTAAAGGAAACCCAAGGATCAATAAACACAACTGATTGTGCATTAAGAGAAGTAGATGGTACCAGGAATTGAACCCRGGGGGCACTTAACCACTGAGCCACATCTTTGGCCCTTTTTTATATTTTATGTTGAGATAGGGTCTCACTGARTTACTTAGGGCCTCAGTAAGTTGCTGAGGCTGGTTTTGAACTTGCAATCCTCCAGCTTCAGTCTTCCAAGCTGCTGGGTACAGATGTGCACCACTGTGCCCAGCCGGAAGAAAGAATTTAAAGGTCAAAAAGCAATGAAAGAAAACAGAGAAAGTGGCAAACATTGAAGAGATACAAATAGGATCCACCATACAGATAACAGGAGTCTCTAGTCCATAGAGGGGGAAAAAAAAAGGTGAGGAGGAAAATAAGGAAACCGAACAAATACTACAAACAATATTTCAAAAGAAGTGAAAAGCTACATATATATATATATATATATATATATATATATATATATATGTATATATATAGGCTTAACAACACTAAAACACATTCTTATAAAATTGTTGTTCTTTTTTTTTAAGAGAGAGAGAGAGAGAATTTTAATATTTATTTTTTAGTATTTGGCGGACACAACATCTTTGTTTGTATGTGGTGCTGAGGATCGAACCCGGGCAGCACGCATGCCAGGCAAGCACGCTACCGCTTGAGCCACATCCCCAGCCCAAAAATTGTTGTTCTTTAAATTTAAAAAATGTGAACATTTCTTTGGTTATCTAGATAACCAAA